TCTGGATAGATATCAAACGAAACACTAGGAAGTCATTTATGCTAAGACATTATTCGCTTATGATTGTTGCCTTTATCATGGAGTATTGGATAATACTCGTACCAAATAGTTCTGTTATCTCATTTCTTTCTTAAGACTCGATAATTTTCTATATAATATTGACCATTCAGTCATTTTAGGAGAAATACGATTTTTCACAAACCTACCGACGCGAGTTTTATTATTGTCATAAAAAAAGTTGTTTTGTGACTCGAACTCTTCACTCTGAAAAGAATATCCTAAGCCAATTCTTCATAAAAGTTCAGCTGAAGAGCAATATTTCTTCGAAAATTTTCCAAAAAACACTTTTTATCTGCACCGACTCATATCGAGTTTTTACTGAAGTTAAGCCTTTTCAAATAGTAGAATAATCAAAAGTTGAACGGTCATTTTTGTGACAAGCATCGCTTTACAGCCGTTAACATTTGTTATTCATTTCACCCAAAACTTTGAAACATTTTTGCCTGATAAAGGAATTTTTACAATGGTTCGAAAAAACAAATAACATAATATTAGTGATATAATTTAAGAATCGAAAAATTCATTGAATACTTATGACAAACACACCTGCTCAAGAAAATGAAACTTCAAAACTTACATTTACTCTCTATGCTACACTACATCTTATGTGCTTACCATCAAAATAACATTAATATATCGACGTCGTTCTATACTGAAAAAGAGAAAAACCTTGTTATTTATATTTACGCCATTAATATAAGTTTCACTGTTGTGCATTCGTTTGTGTCCGTGAAATATTTAATTATTTGATATGCTTGGCACGCGTTGCTTATTTCATACAAATGCTATCGTCTGTTTGCTTATTCTATCCAATATGATGATACATTGATCACATTTTCTGATTTCTCTTCCGTTAAAATGTTTTTTTTTTCGTTTTGGTTGTTCTGTCATTTATTTACGTAAATTAATTGAGTATATTTTTTTCCATAAAAATCTCATCATATTTTTTGTTCATTCTGCTACTCGCTGTTCGAACAGGTTGAAGAACACAAAATACTATGAATCAAACATACAATTTTCACACGAGACAATATTAACCTACTTGTTTTTTTTTGCGCTTGTTGTGCATATCAATTAAATTTTAGTATCTCACAATTTTCTTGGACATATCCTAGAAAATATTATTTTTTAATGTTCCTTCTAGACATATACTGTGTCGGAGTGGAGTGCGGGTGTGATACTCCAACTATTCTTTTTATACCCACACTCACACCCTCAAGAGTATTGAAGAAGCTAGAATAAAATGTTCAGTCTTTAACTAAAATGTTCGTGTGAAAATTGTATGTTTGATTCATAGTATTTTGTGTTCTATACAAGACAAATTTTTCTGAGTCTTTCGATAAGTATATTAAATATCGACGCAAAATCCATTTGTCAATTATTCTATTGGAAACGTCTTTTATGTTTNTCAGTCGTACCCGGTACCCGACCCACCCGACCCGGCCTTCAAATAATAAGCATTTGACTTATATAGTTAAAGCTACATATGCTTTTCAAACTTTTATTTTACATAGCAAAATATAATATTGTATTTTTGACTACTTCACGCTTAAAAAGAAGAAAACAAAAAAGGCAATATAGTTGTCGTCTATCTAATTTGCCTTATGCATAATTCATTGATAATTCATTGTTATATCAATTTGATAAGTCTCCGCTTTTCACTACTAACAAATCTAGAAAGTGAAATATTTTTTGATACCTAGATGTCAGTGACTACCGGGTCGGGTATCGGGCATGTTAAAATTTTGTACCCGCCCGGCTATTTTTTTTTGTAACCGGTACCCGTCCCGACCCGGCAGTTTCCTACCCGAACCCATGTGCCGGGTCGGGTCGGGTGCCGGGTACCCGACCGGGTTGCAGGACACTAGTTGACAATGTAGAAATAGTTTGCCTTGATCAGTTTATGAAAAGATAAGTTGTTTAGATGATTGAAAATGGACAAGTTTGTTTTGTCTTTGAACTTGGCGATGATGTTAATGATTTTCATCTTAATAAATCTAGATTAGCTGTGTAGAATAAAATGTTTCTTTGAAGAGGAAACTGTGTAGAGAAAAAAAGAAACTGAAAAATGATAAAAAAACTAAATATGTTGCTAGTTTTGATATTTTCTCAAGGCCAATATAGTATTATTGAACAAAGATGATTTCACACTATCACTCAATATCTTGTTTATTACAGAATAATCACAGCTATATATACGATAATGGACAACTCGCTATGGTGAAAATATACATGGAAAATATAAAGAAAATCCTAGCGAGTGTTAACAACATTCGAAAATACCTAATGAATAGGAATATAGAAAAATACCTAGTTAGAGAACAGAAAGGGAAAGTTCCATATGTATATAACAGAAAGGATGACACATATATAAGAGTAAGAGAGAAGTGAAAAGATCACATTTTTTTTATTTTGCTCTTAAATGTAACACTCGGGAGTGCTTACATGATAATATAAGAAAAACTAAGGTATTTAAGCAGTAAGCAACAACATAAACGTAGTGAGTTTTACCACCGCCATCAATATCTTAATATCGAGTGTTAACTCAGCTGATATGGGGGTTAAGAGAGTGAATAAAAAAACAGAAAAAAGAAAGAATGAATTGAAAAGGAACAGTTAAAAAAAAAGAGAAAAAAGAAAAAAGGAGCCTACAAAAAGAAAGAAAGAAAAAGGGGGAGAAGAGAAGCGAGGTGAAGCGAAAGAGGAGAAGGAGAGAGGCGAAAACAAAGCAAAAGAGTATATATGTTTGCATTTCAAGGTCAGAAAAAAAAGAAAGTATGTCCTATTCTGGTATACCATTAGTGCATTTCAGTAAATGATATCCATTTTACGAGAAGTGATTCGTGCTTTTCTATTAATCGTTTTACACGATTAGTACGGAAAAACTGACCAAGATGATCCTTCTTTCTTTTATGAAATTCATCCCAAATAAAAATAGCACTATAGAAGAGTGAACGACCAAGATCCGTTGTGACCATACTTTTTAGTCTTCTTTGAATATAGTGTTTAACGTATAGTTCTAATGAATCTTCGTTAGTCCTAGAATATAGATTATGAGCTGAGATAAAGGGACAACGATGCACCAGTCTAAGACCAACACGGAATTTCTGCTGTAATAATTGTTGATGTGATTCGGGAAGCAAGGGAAAGAATGGAAATATCCATGCAAAGTGAGGAAATGTATATGCGAAAAAACATTGCCTAAGCGCCTTAGTAGACATAAAACGTTTTGCTCTCAACCACCTTAGCTTTCCCAATGATTTCTGAATGTTTCCTATACATCTATCAACTGTTGGTTTCAAGGATAGTTTGCTTGTTCAAGTGAAACCTAGGTATTTAAATTCGTTGACTGATTTGATTTTCTGTCCATTCATTTCTATGTTTACTCTTGGTCTTTTTATTTGTGTATAAAATAACTACACCACTGTTTTTGACATGTTAATAGGTTGCTTCCATTTTTTTGAGTATGCAAATATTCGTTCACATACTCGAGTACCTTCGTGTTCGAGATAATTGATCATAGGCTCTAGTTTTATGCAGATAGGAGGCTTTATAATAACACAAAGATCATCCGCAAAAAGATGACCCGAATGTGCTCCTAGGCATTGAACCACATCACACTGAAACACAATAAATAGGTATGGACTCAGACTACTACCTTGAGGCAGACCAATGTTTATATTAAAGGTTTCTGATGACTTCTCTCCGAATACCATGAATGCTCTCCTTTCTTTTAACCAAGATATTATCATTTTCAGCATGCTAAGCGGTAGACCTAATTTCCATAGTTTAGTCAAAAGAGCTGCGTGCCATACACGATCATAGACCTTCAGATAATTCACATAGATAGCTAAAGTCGGTATGTTCCCTGCCATACAGTTTTTTACTTCTTGATAAATTGATAAAACTCTTGTGGGTAGTAAACATCGTGGGCGAAATCCTGATTGTTCTACTGGCACTATACAGGGTATTTCATAAGTTTTGAGGCTTGGCAAAAATTAATACATACGCAAACAAAGAGTGATCTCAGACCAAAGGTATTTATATAAAGTTTGAGTACTCCTGACGCCCTTTCAAATGATGTATGATTAGATGAGATCTCATTTTGTAATAATAAAAATATACGCATGAGAATGTTGAGATAAATTTTTCCAAAT